TGTTCAGGCTGCCCATCTCCAACAGTTCGCGCATGCGCGTGTTCGCTTTTTACGTTGATTGCAGTTTAACCGCCTGACAGTTAGCTGTCATTTCACGGGCAATTCAACTAATTTCTAGTTATATGCACCTCTCCCCAGCAATTTTAAATTTGCCGCCATTTTGCATTCAATTTAACCAATTTATCCTGGTTGTATGCACCTCTCTCCAGCAATGTGTTCATTATCGGTTCGAAGGGAACCGGATGTCCTGACCGCCATCTGTGCGTCACGATATCGCTGTCATGGTGGACTTCATGAGTTTGTAAAGCACTTCATTACATTCGACGTTGAATTCCAGGCGACAAGCTCGCTGGTCAAATGCACCTGCAGTAACGCTTTGTTTATTATCGCTAGGAAAAGATCTCGATGTTTTGACCATCTCACCTGATACAGCTCCCGCTTGTACGCTTCACTGCTTTCGCCATCGCGTTTTAATGGTTAGCAGTGCAGACTTGCATAACGCATCGCGCTCAGCATCCGTGCTACGTAATTGGCTTGTTGGCCACATGCACCTCCACAGAACAGCTCGTTCGTTATCGCACGGGGATTTCCGACGTTCCGGATGCATTAACATGGAACTTGGTTTCTGTTGGCAGTGCGACATCGCTCCCGACCTCCCATGACCCACCATATCAGAGAACAGACACAGCGACAGAACGGTATCAAAGCCATGTTTTAGATACTGTCCGACTTTGCTGCCGATTTGTGACCCGATCTTGGGGCTCGGCACGCCGGACGAATCCATCCCGGTCTGAACGGTGGCAGCCAGGTCATAGAGGTCATAGAGGTCATAGAGGCCGGTCCGAACGGCTTCGGTCCCGTTGTCACACCGTCGAGCTTCTTCAACATCTGCTGCAGACTAACCTTCACCCTGATTCACGGTTTTTCATAGCGCAGACTGAGAGGGGGGGGGGGGAGCGGAGGCGATGCGACCCCCAAGCCGTTTCCAAATTAAGCAAGATGAAGCCTAGCGGAACATATTAGCGGGTTGGTCTTAACAATATCTCGCGACTGGTAACACGTTGCATGTGGCTAGGTCAGAGATTGCCCTCATGTGCCAGGTCAAAGGTAAATTTTCATGAAAACCGAACTTTTCCAGCTTTGCATGCTCACATGTATGAGACCGTGCCTTGTGGCGACACAAAATCTAAACACGGGTGTTCCTTGCTCAATTCTGAGCACACAGGTATACAGTTTCACTTGTTTTGAGTGTGTTTATGATTTAGGGATCATTAATGTGCAGTCGACTGCCGCGGACTGCATATTGTCCCTGCAGTCGGTTGTCGCGGACTGCACATTGTCCCTGCAGTCGGTTACTGCAGACTGCGCATTGTCCGTACAGTCGTTTGCCGCGGACTGCACATTGGACTGCTGCTGCCGCCCGTGCCGGCCGTAGGTCGCCGGCGGGAGATTCTGAGGAGCGCTCTGCAGCGTTCCTGAAAAAGCCGTCGCTTCTCCAGGGACACGTTTTCGGTATCGAAAACACGCACAATAGATGCCCCCCCCCCCCCCCCACATAGGCTACTGAGCACTTGGGCACGATTGAATCACATGCCGGAGAGGCATTCTCAGACAACCTTAAGGGGCTCGCATCAAATCCCCGCTCCCTCCCCACCGGGACGAGAGTTGAGCTCATTTGCATGCGGTTCGCAGGTGACTCAGTAAACAAGTTTCTTGTTGACCTCAAGCAACCGGCAGGTGCCGCCAAAGCGTCCAGCTTTTACCGCCGTGCGCACACACTAACGAACGGTCATGATTCCGCCATGCTGGCGAGAAATTGCCTTGGAGTTCGCTGAACTGATCTATAGACTTTTGACTGTGGGCTGAAGTGTCCAGTCCTATCACAGCCACGCATTTCATGGCGTTTCTCAGCATTTCTTGGCCGACATCTCCTGCACTGGCGTGGGTCATATCTGTCCGAACTTCAAGGTACAGTCCTGCCAGGCCCAAGCCGCGCCACGCCAAGCCAAGCCAGGCCAAGCCGCGCCACCCAAGCCCAAGCCAAGCCAGGCCCAAGCCACGCTGACGGCAATCAAACCCGGCTTCGGGCTCACCGCATTTTCGGCATCTAATTCTCTACTGGCGTCGGTTTCGGGCGCAACCAACAAACGGAACTGGGACTAACCGACTCGTGGCAAGTGCCACTGATAGCAGCTGCCGCGGTCAACAGCAACCACATCACCGATCACTGCCGTCCTCTTTCTCGCGCCGCCACAACTCACCTGGTTTGGCACGGCCCGACATGACAACGCGCCCGCCCTTCCCCTGCCAGCAATATATCACTCCGCACGGGGCGGCCTCTTTGCAGGCCATTTCCGCTTTCAACAATCTTGATGGACCCTGTATCTGCTTACACAATGATACAAACGGACGACACGACCCTTACTCAATCGTAGAGGGTGGTCTGAAGGGTGGCGGCGTTTTTCATGTCGATGTCCACAAACCGAAGATGTTTCGAGACGTGTAGAGCGAAAGTTGTTTCACGAGAAACATTGATAGTTGCATAAAGCGTAATGAATAAAGCCTTTGCGTACTGTTTTCGATGACCATTTTAAAGCAATGTCCTGCACTATGGAGCATAATAAAAAGGCGTTTATGGGTTATGGTTGGGCATTTAATCTCACAACCGAGCAGAACGCGCAAATCTACCCTCATGTAGGGTTCAGCTGAATTTCTTCCTTCCCACTACGTAGCAGCAGCATTGCTAATGTACACCAGTTAGGAACAATTGCAATCGGCTGGCGCAGGCTCATATTTACCGATTTAAAGAAAACAGTCATTCGCTTTCCTATTTGTCTCATCACTGCACGCTATGAAACCACCGGCTCGCCGTGTTCTAAGGAAAAAAAGTGTGTCTGATACACACCATAACGTGCACGCTTTCTGTTTACACTCTATAATTCAGTTAAAGCTCGGTTTATCAGCGCTAGGCAGGACTACATCCCAGCGTCGAGCAGCGTGCCGTCAGCAATTAATGTGGTGAGCGCGATTTTGTGCGTGACACGGTTGAGCTAGTCACTGCCGGGAAAAATCGGGTACGTCGGTATTTCGGAAATCGGAAATGTCGGCGCTTCGATACACGGCGCCCAACTCATCACGCTCTTGTTGAAACCGCTCTTCTGTTCTCGATGATATTTACATCACCGCCTGTTCCGATTTATTGCCTGCTATTTGTCGGTAAGTTATTTGTACCCAGTTATTTGTGGGCAAGTACACTGTACTTTACAAACATCAACCTTGCCTGAAAGGCTGTAATCTACCACTTTCGCGCCGCTAAAACACCACCGATTGATCAGCCAGTTGCCGTCGGCAAGTATTAACCAAACACGCCCGTGCCAAACGAACTTATTCAATTTTAGCTCAGTCATTTGTTGCGGCAAAAAATGGCGGCCATAGTGACAATATAATTCATCTCTTGAATTCCTAGCGTTCCGAATCGTTAGAGAAACCACAAGTACTGAGCGAATAATAGTTGGCAAAGTATGCAGCGCATGGACTTGTAGATGTAGCTTCTTTAAAGCAAAGGTCACTGCTGCAAGATACAGCCAGACAGATCGCTTAGTGCTTTGCGTGTGTGGGTTTTGGAGTCATCGCAGAGTGTGATAACAAAGATACATTGCAGCAGCAATGGTAAGTGGCAGCGGTGAAATTAGGGAGGTATTGTATTCGCGGTGGCAGCAAGAACGGTTTACCTAAAGCCTTTAGAGCGCGTAACAGCACTTAAACCACGGTGGAAATCTGGAGAACGAGAATGCGTTTGGTTTATACAGAAAGCTAGACATTTTGTATTCGTAAACAGGTCGTGGACTTATAACAGAAGAATGCCTCAAAGGATACTTCCGAATCATTTAGCTGCCTGCGTTGGGGGGGGGGGGGGGGGGGGCTGATCAGCTTCGACGCAGGCCTGCATGGCACGAGATCCGTGAATGTCGTGACAGCATTTATCTACGGCTCGAATTAACACTATTTCCATAATTCGCGATGGTTTTTTGAAACACATAAAGTGGAGCTCCTCGGGAATTACAACACACACGCAACCCAACATCCACACGTGTGTAAAGAGAGAAGGGAAACGGCGAGCGGTCCCCAACCGATTTCGTCAAACTTGTCAACGATTCACCCCTCATCTTGCTACCCGAAAGCTGGTCTACAAGTGAGGTGTGTTTCTCATGTCACACATACATCCCTGGTAGTCAGCACATCACACCGGAAATCCTATGGATAACGTTGAATGCATCCTGCAATAATGCACATACGCAACGTGCGCACCATGCAACAGGTCTTCGCATGCGTTTTCACGGAGCCGGCTCCGTCGCTTAGCGAAGCAAGCCTGCATGCACTTGTGAATTTCAAATTCAATAGCTATCGTACCGCATCAGATGTGTATTAACTGATTTACAACCATAGCAGTTATGCTTGATCATTAGCAAGCAATCTTATTTTCGGAGGGTTGTCTCTGTGGCATGCCCTATCAACATAATAGCATTACAACCACCAAACCGAATGGCAGGCCAAATTGGCTGAAAAACATGACATGACAGACACATCTATGGCAGATCAATAAGTCACTAACTGTGAGCATCAATCATTAGCTTCGTTTGTTTTTTTCCCTGTAGTCCTTCGTCACCATGCGTGAGATTTTCTTTTTCGAGGGACATGGAACGCCACCCCGTGTTGAACTTGGGGCAAATAGCTCCCACCCTCGCAGTCAGTGCTGAATCTGCCCCCCCCCCCCCCCCCCCGTTATTGCCCCTTTCCGTACCCCATCAAAGCCACTCGAAAGGGTTTTGTTCTCAAATCCCGGCACTAAAAATGGACTCAACACAGGAGCACTGACATATGAATCAGCTTTGCTTTTACGCCGTATGGCCAGGCTGATGCCGTCGATGATCACTGTGTTAGGGACGCGCGCTTGCAGGCAAGTAGAACTACTGATCTGAACTGGTTTTCACCACACTCACCTTCCAGCCGGTGTCGAGAACAGCGTGGTGCTCGGTCCTGACGTGCGCACGACGAGCTAGCGACTTCGGGGTCGTGCTGTTCACTTCAGTCACAGTCGAACGCGGAATAGATTATGGACGAGTTCGGTGCAACGAACTATGGGCGAGTTCGGTCACCAGCCCAGCCCAATAGGCAGGCCCCACAGACCAGCTGGAGCGAGCGGAAAGCCCGCGCTGGAAGGATGAGTGCAGTGAGACTACGCTTTAGCACGCCAGCTGAAGCTGCTGCTCAGCAAGCTTCCAGCTAAGGTAGAACTAAGCTCGTCACGAGCCCAGCAAAACCCTCTGAACGCACTTTGACCCGAGCTAAGTCCAGACTTATCTCAGCGGGCAAAGCTCACACAGCATAGCTCACACAGCACGCTCCGCTTTACGCTATCGGTTGCGCTCTTGACGCTCTCCCAGCCGGCGGCGCTGGGAGCCTGTACGCCGCGCGCGGTCGCCGCACGCTCCTCCGGGACCAGCGCCAGACTGCGCCAGCCCGCGTCACTGCCAGGCCCGGTCGGGGAACGCGCTCGCTCGGTGGCGGCGCGTATGGCTGCGGTCTGCCGATGTGGGTCGGTGCGGGGATGGTGGCGCGCCGTTGAGGGTGCAGCCTGGGTCTACAGGGTCGGAAGGAAGTCTGTGTAACAATTACAGAATTAAAAAGTGTTTTTGGGCTTGTATGTCGTAGAATGCTAAGGAGAAAGAAGAAATAGATGCGACGGTATTTTGGCCACATACCTTTAGAAAAACGAATATGAGCAATAAATTTAAAACTAAAGATTGCCTGCCGATCCCACTCGATTTTTTTACCGTTTTTAAGCAGTCAGCCACAGTTTTTACAGACCACTTACATGCCGTGGGTTTTAACAAGTAAAAATTGCCAGTCATTCATACGATATGGTGTATATCTAATTTGTGATTAAAATAGTGAAAAACGTGTTCTTGTAAACGGAGCCAGGGTAAAATAGATTTGTTATATTCCAGCGGCAATATGAGTAGGAAAAACCAACATTTACTAGTGCATATCAACATTTGGCGGGTCGAGAGAGGCGGGCAGAATCATGAATTCATGATCATCAAAAAATGTCATGATCATCATGAAATGCAATAATTATCATAAAATGTAATTGCCCTGTGAGTTGCCTGCGATCCAAATCTGCGTAAGATAACGACCTGTGGTTGGTAAATATGACCAATTTAAGCAGCAAATGTGGTAGTTGGTGGGTGTATGTTTGTAATAGTTAACTGCACGCGAAATTTGTAGTTGGGCGGCGAAATGAGGCAACATTGTGATCTATGCTAAATCTTATGCTCAAACGATGAGATTATCCAGGACACAGGGCTGGTAATTTCATTGCTGCAGGACAGAATGGCTGCTGATTCAAGGGATTACTTCAGCATTGTAGCATTCGTGGAAGTTGAAGTTTGGGTCACACATTGGAATATTCTGAACTCTGGGCTGCATTCCAATGCTGAACGTCATGTCTGTTTGGTTACATCATAACATGACTCATAACAAAGCAATTTATTTTTAAAAATTGCAGCAAATGCTGAGTGGAAGATAGTGTTGCACAGAGATATTGCAGAATAATGTTGCATCTCAAGTTCTTTTAGGGCCTTCCCCTGGGCGTTCTTCTTCAGTTTTTCATTGCCCTGAAGAGCCAATGCTGCATATGTTTCCGTCAATTATGTGTTGTCGAAATTTACCTTGGCTGCCTATTGCACTTCAGCTGCTTTGGTGACCTTTCCCGATCTAGGATCAAGAAATGGAAATGTAAGTTATAAAATGGAAGGCTTGGGAGGAAAAGGAATATGCGTGTAGCTATATTCAGCTACCAATTATATATTGTACAGTTTGTCCACTGTGAAAGCTAGGTTTTGGTCCAAAGTAATAAAGTTTAGCCTATGGTAAAACATTTGCATTCTCATTTGGCCAAAAACCTCCCGACAGTGATTCAGCGGAGCATGGTAACATAGGCCATAGGTTTTCTAGGTGATTAAGGTATTCCAGATCATTCAGAGAAGTCTTCCAGATCTACATTTCAGGGCAAGTGTGCAGTGCCAGCTCGCCCGCCATGACACTTCATGTTATACTGTCGACCGTCCTGCTTCCAAGCACAGCTATCCCAAGCAGGGTATAGTTCGCCGCCATGGCACTTAATGTTATACTGTCAACCGTCCTGCTTCCAAGCACAGCTATCCCAAGCAGGGTATAGTTCGCCGCCATGGCACTTGTCGTTATACTATCAACCGTCCTGCTTCCAAGCACAGCTATCCAAAGCAGGGGTACAGTTCTCTGTTCACCAACGGTGGTACTGACTCCAACTTGGAGGGAAGTGTCCCCCGTTCCCAACTTCACTTTGCGGCACTACGCTCCTATTCGCAAGAAACGACAAGCAGGCGTCCATGGTGGTGGACTATCTATCCACAGGGGCAAGAGACATTCTCCGAAGCACGAGATCATCGATTGTGGCTGCGACACGCAATGTGCCCGCGGACCAACGACAGAGAGCCGGCGCATTTGCTGTTCAGACACCCTGGCGGACACAGCGCCCCTGTATTCGTACAGCTGCAACAGCTTTCTGCAGACGTGCGCGACGCGCGAGGCAAAGTTGGCGCATCATGCAGTTCTGCAGCATCATGACAGGCTAACACATCCACTGTCCCAGCCTTCTGACCGGCACATCGGTTGACAACCAGGACCTCAGCATTGGAAAAAGAGACCGTACCGGCGTAGCGGTGGCGATCCTTTACGCTGGTCATGCATACCCCCGCTCGAGTACCTTGAGGACGCCTCTACTGGAGAAGCCGTCGGTTCCCGAAGCCCACTGTGTCATGCGATCTGCGAAGGCGCCATCGACTGAACGGCCGGAGTGGCAGTGGACGGCAGGCAGTAGCAATGTCACCGTGCCATCACTGCTGTGCTGGCCCTGAGGTGGCACTGCCGGCCTTGCGCGGCAGTGGCCGTCACCATCACAACTTAGCACCTAGCACAGTGCATGGTCTTACCACTGGCCCGCGTCTGAGACAGCCGGCTCTGGAAGGCTTGCGTCGCGTGAGTCCCGCACGTCAGACACAATTAAAGCTATGCGCCCTCTGTAACCACGTTGCTGGTTAGACTCAGCGGTTGCGTTACACGTGCGAAGCATGCATGTAAAAATCCGCATATGAAAATATAGCGTGTATTTGTTGCAATAACTCGCAACGCGTAGACGGCACAACCGCTGCATCTGTATAGCCCGAAGATTACAACTGTCTTGAAAAAGCCATATGTGCATATATAATGAATATCATATGCATACATATACGTATATATATATATATATATATATATATATATAGATAGATATAGATATATATATATATATATACTATATATATATAGATATATATATATATATATATAGATATATATATAGATATAGATATAGATATAGATATAGATAGATATATATATATATATATATATATATATATATATATATATATATATATATATATATATATATATGTGTGTGTGTGTGTGGGTGTGGGGTGTGGGTGTGTTAATAAGTCAATGAGTATGTTTACTCTGTTTTCTATCATAAACTCTGCTGAAAGAAGTTCGCGGGTAGCAGTATTTGATCTCGCACCCGGACATCGCAGCGTGTGCATGGGTCTACGCTTTGCCTAAAACCTCGAGAAGAAGCGTCATGGGCACGGTTTTGATCCCGGAAATCTAAAAAGTTGTTCCAGCGTCAGTTTCATGTACTTTTTGGGCATATATACGTTCAAAATTTTGACGGCCGCGGGCCTGAAAATGGTATTTTTAACATGGGACTATCCGGGCTCGTCGTGAAATGTGCGCCGTTGCTGACACATCCTGTGCTAAGCTTGAGACCCCGGCAGTCCAGTGTCTTGCAACTGATCACCCGCATTGTCGGGCTCAGTAGAAGTCCTCAGCGTAACAAAATGACATCCACAACTAAAATCGTTCCACCACAAAAACCACCAAAGTCACCACTGGTAACCTGTATGAGATGCAGCATCAAATATCTCACAGAGAAATTAGTGCACAACTCCACCTATGCTCCCAAGTTACCTCTCACTTTGTACAACTCTAGCGATGTAGTCAAAAGAGCACTCATTCTGCAAACAGTGGCGTGGAAGAATTCCAAGATAATGGTACATCGAGCATCGTTTTGAATGTGGTTCTGCCATGCCCTGCTCCTGCGAAAGCTATACAAGCCACCACCGAGCTTGTACTTAAAGTGAAGGTCACAGCACAGCAGCACGCCCAATATCGGGACCCTTAAGATAGAACCGCATTAACAGATAGCATCCAAACGTCATGTTGGTGAGCGGCACTTTTGATAGTAACATCGACTTTCGGCTTCTTTAAAGGGGATGTTCCACATTTGTATGGTGTTTGAACTGGAATAGCCATCTTAAGGACCTTTTGATGCAGTTCACAGTCATGTCCTTATAAGACCCCAAAACGCTCTGGTTCCTGAGTTACACGCCAGCAAAAGTGCGAAAGGTTTATTTTGGGCCTACTTCAAAGTTGCCTTCGAAATGATGATGTCATAGAAACGTCATACGCTCGCCGTGATGTTACAGGCTGTTTTCTGCTTATGGTCAAAACAGCGTGGCGCTGGTACATTCGCAAAAGCGATGATGCGGCACGTATGGTTACAGTGCGCGGAAGAAGCGCGGAAGGCTGCTGGCAAGATTTCGCTGCTGAATACGTGTCGCGATCGTAAGCCCGAGCACTTTCAGGTTGTGCGGCACGTCGTCGTGAATGGGTAAGACCGGTGTCTTTTTCCCCTACTGGCGTTTTTTTTTCTCTTCTTCTACTAAAGGATCTCTCACACATAGCTCGGTTGAGCCTTACTATACCGGGGCACAGGAACCTTGCACGGGTTTATGGGTTAGTAAGGCATTGTGAAATTATCGAAACATTACAGTAATTGTGATGTAATATATATATATATATATATATACATATATATATATATATATATATACATATATGTTTCACTTAATATTTCACACATTTGGCCACCACAAATTTAAATCTTGAACACAAAATTGTGTTTCACAAGTAGAACCTCTGAGCCGGCATTACCATGACCCCCGCTGGACTTTGTTTTGAAGGGAGGTACACGGTGAAGTCCGGTGTTATGACTGAAAATCTTGCGCGGAAATTGCGAGAACACTGCAAGTTGATAATCAAGTTCGAGCTGTGCAAAGGTTGAGATCACACTCATTGACAAAATATTTGAATCGGGGGGCTCGAAATGTGTATTATCAATGGTGGTGTGTACCAGCGGCTTGTAATTCTCTTGATGTGATGGGTGGGTGTGGTGTGACATATTTTTCTTTTCTAAGAGGGACATTGTTTGGTATTCTTCAGGTCTACTGACTCCTAGTTAAAATGTGATATACTTGATACCTGCCTCTTCCTTTATGTTGTGTTTAAACGGGACAAAGGAAATGCTGGCAAACTGAGAGAA